AGTTAACCTTATATCCTGTCACAAGCACCAAATCAGCCTGACTTCTGTGGGGCTACAGCTGGGCCACCTGAGTACCTTGACCAGCTCTCCGTGCTCCTCGTGTCACTCCCGCTCGTTTCAATCCTACTCCCGCTTCACCAGTCACCGGCCCGTTTACCCACAAACACATAACCCTCTTTAATTAACCATTCCAGCTGCTCTCTTTCTCTACTCTCCACGAAATCCGGGGCAGACGCCTCTTTTATATTGCGCTGTACATCCGTTCGATACTTACTGCACAATTAGCCCCAGAGGCTGCATTATCCTTCCTACTGACAGACGCCCAGGTAAGTGCCTTTATGATCCCCACGACGTTGTCTCCTTACCTATCAGGCGCCTCAGCCTCCTGCGATCAGAGCCTGTCCACGAGAGCCTCACTCGATCACAGGTCCTTGCACCCGCCACCGGTACTCGCTAACTGCCACAAACATATACAACCATATTTTTTTTTAGCTACAGTATCTTAAACATAGGGCTTGTGATACTGTATACTATACTGTGTGTTTTGTCTGTGGAACCAAAGTCTGACAAACCATTATACATTTTTAAGATATTTTATGTGCTTTTAAATGCCTTTATTTGATAAAACAGGTTAAGATAAACAGGAAAGGGTGGAGAGAGAGAGGTGGGACGACATGCAGCAATTACTCTGTGTTAATTTCTTAGTTTGCACTTGCTCAGGGCATTTGAGGTTACGTTTTTTTATCCAGGGTACCTGAATTAACCCAGGTACACTACTCTTTACCAAGTGAGCCACTGTGCACCCAGACAAACCACTGTTGTCCAAAAACCAAGTGAGACACACTGTTGCATTGGGTAACACGTTCCTTCATTGTGATGAACATGGGCACTGTAGTTTATCACTGTCCATCCCACCATCCTGCTGCTGTAATTACTCACTAGTGCACCAAATGTGTATTATTCCGCAGCAGAAAATAGTCCCCAACAAATGCACAATATACTGTTTTCATCCTATAGAGCCAGTGTTTGGTTGTCTGTTCAGGGCTACTGTAGAAATATGGCGGCTCAACATGGTGGTAGATAATAAAAGACTAATTGTAAGGTGACAAAAACACAACGATCAGACCTATGAAGATTATATTCCAATTCTGCCAATAAATCCTCCTAAATGTTACACACTGGACCTTTAACTATTTAAAATGAAATTATATACTTGTTTTTAAATCACTTCCATCTTCAGCAGGTATGAGTAATGCCGCCAACAGTTTGTGCTGATGTTGTTGACACAGAAACTGACAAATATATTGTCTGTTTCATTGGATTTGTTGACAGTAGGAAAAATATAAAATAATGCCTTATCTTTTAATAGAGATATGCCACAAGGGATAAGTAGGAAAATAGGGTTTTCTTCTGTATTTTGGCTGAACTGACATTTAAAAAAAAAAAGTTTTACCTAAATTTAGGAAATTACTATGTTTACATCTGTGTATCTGATTCAGAGCCTCGGCTGGAACAAAGGCTCTAACTGTCGCTAAAAAATTTCAGAGATGTTCTTGAGGCAAAATCTACAAATTGATTTAATTTACAAAGATCTATTCATCCTCACTCATTTCATTGTAAGAGAGAAACCAGTGAATGTTTGGAATCTTAGTTTAATAAATTATCAAAATTAATATCTGTTAATCAACTAGCAAGTCTTCTGTACTTACCCCGACTCTCAGTGTGTAGGCGTACTCTGCCAGCAATGTGGGACTAATGATCCTCCATTTGTGCTTGGTCTTCTTAAAGTGAGGGTCAGGGAAGAGGAAGAACATCTTACTGAGCTGACAGAACAAGAAAGAAAAGGGTCAGAAACAGTAAAAAACAACAACTGTCCTATTAAACTGTAGTCATTACTTGGTGTCATTCCCACACAAACTTTCTATTTTTATGCACTTTGATACTGTGGTTCTAAAATGTATGCGTGTCATCACTTAAATGTGGCCCCCATTATATCATGTGGTTGGTATTTAAGCACAGCAGATTGCAAAACTGGAATTTCCCTCCTTGATTTTATTTTCTTTCCATAAAGTTCCCCATGTCTCTGTCTTTGACAAGTGTAAAAGTCAAGGCTCCATTGATTTTAGTCTGGCTGATACATTAAAAACCATTCCAGTAACTTTTTATTAGTTAAAATAAATAATGTCAGGTATAGACAGAAAAATGTAGGGATAATCACTGGGGACTGCTGCAGCCTCAGGGGCCACTTCAGTGCTGATGGAGGATGGAAAAACCTTAACACTTTGAATTATTTTTGGGTTACAAAACAAGAAGAAACAAGAAGAAGAAGAAAAAAAAGCATTTCAGGAGTGTTGAATACGCCGTTTCAACACTTGAAACACATCATGCATGTGAGAAGGATTGGGACTAGATTTTGAGCTCTAGTCTGGGTGGTCGTTTATTCCTCTGCTACTAAAACAGCAATCCACAGCTGGAAAAAAAAATGTCATGTCTGGTAAATTAAGTAAAGAAATGAAGTTTATGAACGAGCTGAAGGAAGTGTCACTGTCTGCAAAACAAGCCACTGAGTCTCTTTCCTTTTAAACATCTACAGTCTAACCTTGGCAATAAGCCTGGAGTCTCGCTGTGCCAATAATAGTCATATTATTTTAAAATGACCTGAAACAGCATATTAAAATAATTAAAAAAAATTAAATCAATGTATGTGTTTTTAAATAAAAACACCTATATAATTTGCATCCATAAATGTGTCAGTGTTACAGCAATTACTCTCTCCTGTGTTAATTTCTTAGTTTGTACTCGCTCGGGGCATTTGAGGTTATGTTTTTTTTTTATTCAGGGTACCTAAATTAACCCTGGTACACTAAGCCCACTGTGTAATCTACTGCGAGTTTCAACAAGTCATAGATTACTGCAGCTAATTGGAACGGATAAATGGCGTCTTGCACTGCTCTATGCTCAGCTGATGCGATGCTTTGCGTGTCAGTCAATGAACCCATTGTTGTGAAATCCTGGATTTATTGAGCAATCCATATAAATTAATGCAGTCCATATGTTAAACATAAGGAAAGTAATTATTTTAAGTCAGCAATGCTTGGGCTGCATGTTCTTAATAGAGGTGGGTGATAAATTAAAGGGAAAACCAACATAAAGTGTCTTAATTAGGTGTTGGTCCACCACGTGCCGCCAGAACAGCTTCAATAAGCCTTCAATACAAAAAATGTTTCATTACAGGACAAAGGTGATTGAGTGACTCAAAACAACTTTGCATTGATCTGCAGAGACCACTTCCCTCTGAGGGGACAACTGGACCCAAACCATGGCAGTAAAATGCTGCCCACAGTATAACAAAGCCACCAAATCCCCTCACTGTAGGGGTCAAGCATTAAGGCCTGTACCGTCCCTCTTGGTGTATGCCAAACATGCACTCACCCACTTGTAGAGAATATGGTGAAGGACGACTCATCCGTCTCACTTTAGTCACCTTTAGTTTTTACACCACTGGACTCTCAAATGTGCATTGATCTTTGTAATGAGGGGTTTATGCACTGCAACCAACTAACCCTCTCTACATTGTTGGACTGTTAACAGACTGACCACTGACTTTAGACGAGCTGCTCTTCTGTTTTACCTTTAATATCACACTAATGCACAAACATCAACTTTAACAAATGTGCTCCGTCGACCACAATTTCTGACCCTATCTACTGATGTCTTTCACTAAATCACTTCATTCACTGTTCCTATTGAAACACCAGCCAACTGAGCAGTCTTTGTGACTGAAGCTCCTGCGATCAGTGCCGGAGCAATGAACTAACTAACTAACTAACTAACTTCCAAACTTAGACCTAATTGTAGTGCACCTGTGTGAAAGCATCTGCATTCATTGTGTTTCTCCTCTCATTTATTCAGGTTTTTCCTTTAATTTGTCACCCGTCTTGTGCCAGGACAGACTGCCAGCTTTACTTTAAGGGTTATTACAGGCCCTGTCGGATTAGCTATTATAGAACTGCAGGCCTTTCGTATACGAGCTCCAATTCAGTTTCAATTACTGTCATATATGCGTTATTTCTACATAAACTATATGTGGGTCGGCGCACCCGGCTTACAAAAAACTGCACCTCCAATGGTGTCTCTGCATGCAGACATAGTTTGTAAAGATGTGCTGGAATACTTTTACTGTATAGTGAAACATTCTGATGAGGAGCATCAACATATTTTACAGCATGTTGTTCTTCCAATACAAAATGTCCACAAATCTACCTTCAGTGGATTTCCTCAACAAGGGAAGCACAGTTTGTGACTTTTATTGAATTGTTTTTCAATAAACATGCAGGAATGTTTGGAAATTGAAAGTCAGTTCCAATACCAATACACACAGAAGGCTATGAAAATAAATATCCATATCTTACTTATTTCATTTCCAAACGGGAACTGTATTCAGACACAGCTGGGTTGAAAATAATGCTGCTGAATTGGGTCGTTTCATACATTTTATACATATTCTCAGGAAGGCAAAACTGCAACCTCTCCAGACCAGAAATCCCTGGAGGAACTCATTACTGAGTGACTTAGGCCTCCTTCCTAATTAACATTTACACACACATATATAGAGACCTACCTGTCCTTTGGAAAAGAAGTTGGGGAGGTACTTCATTGCATTGCTGCGAAGGCAGGCGATGTTCTGGTAGCTTCCTGGCTCCGAGGCACGCAGCGACTGGATCCGATCCCGAACATAATCGGACACTTTCACTCGGATCTCCAGGCCCAGGATGAGCTTGTCCGGGAACAGTGGAGACAGCTCCACTGGGTGAAGGTGAAGACACAAACAGAGACATGAACAAAGGATATACGGCGCAGAACAATGTGACAAATGTAGGTGATCCGATGAGCGACGGAACTACCTAAAAGCCCCCCGTATCCACATCCAATGTCTGCAAACTCAACTCGGGGGGTCTCCTTCTCAGAGTTTCCAGTGAAGAAGTCTGGATACAGCTCGGACCAGTCCATTTCCTCAGGACACACAGGACTGAGGAGGAAAGAGGAGGTTTATAATGCAACTAATAAAACAGTTGACAAGGTGTTTCTGTTGATTTGTTTGTCAGGAGCACCTACAAACCTACACTGTATTAAAGCAGAGGCTGACACATCTGACAAATACCTCCAATCCTCGGCTACTATAAACAAACCTTTCTGCAGGTCTACATTCACACCAGGGTTTACATGAGCAGCAAAGATTGTGCAGCACTTTACTTTGTAGTCATCGTCTGAGTTTATAAATGCACAGTTAGGACTGACAGTGCAGGTCTCACTCACACACACACACACACCACGTCTCACTCACACCACACACACAACCACACACACACACACACACACACACACACACACTTCTCTCTACTCACACACACTTTCACCCACTCTCATCAAACACAACAACTCACTCTCTTCACACCACTCACACAACTCTCTCACAACCAAAACACACACACACCCACACTCTCTCACACCACACACTCTCTCACACACACCAACACTCTCTCCACAACACACACCACACTTCTCACACACACCAACCAAACCACACACAACACACACACACACCACCACACACACACACACACACTCACTAGTCAAACGTGTGGTAAGCCATGGGGTTTGAATGTGCTCTCTGTCTGTAGTAACGCTTCTGCGGCATGGACGAGCTCATGTTGGATCAAAGTAAAGACGCTGCTCCCTCCAAGAACAATATTCACGTAATGGTTAAATAAACGCGGGTCTCCTCTTCTGAACGTGGAGTCCCGAAGTCACGTTTGTTTCTAGTTTATCAACGAGTCGCGGCGTTTTGACGTCATCGCCGAGCGCCTTCGCGGTTGCCAGATTTGTTGAAAGGTTTCAGTATTTTATATTTTATAGTGGAAGAGTTCAGTGTACCTGTGTGTTTCTGTCTGATATATACAGTCAGTGGTTTATAGCTGTGTCCACACAACGTATATGATACCACAGTCTACATTTACACCATTACAGTTACAGTCCTGCATTAACATTTCACTTGAGTTTACTTGAAGTATCAAAAACAAAAGTAATTTGCTAACTGTGTCTGGGTTAGTAAATTACTTTTTGATACTTAAAGTAAATTTCTTGAGTCAAATTTAAATTTCTATTTGTTGGATCATTGATACACGAAAACACAAACTGGTGTCTTCTTATCACAGGTTGTTGTTGTCTGATCAGTTCAATCAGTTTCTATTCTTTCATTGTTTAATTTCAGTAACAGTAGTAAAATAATATTACATTTCATGATGAGAGAAAAGTCTGCAGATTAAACCTAGTTTTGAGAAGCACAATTTCTTAGGTTGGTAACCAGTGTTATATGTGGTCAAGGTGGGGCTCATTATAACTAATCTAATTAATATAGCCTACTATTAGGTAACTTATTTGACATTGTGCAAATTTAATTACCAGAGATCATCAAATGTTTTGTGTGTAAAATCTGAATATGCAGTAAAAGTATAGCAATCTGATTAATGTAGGCCTAGCGGAGAAAGAATGTTATTTACCTCTTTAATGTGCAAGTATAACATAAAATGGATTGGTCGTTATTCGGTTGCTTTTGTTGTACTGACATTTCAAAGTAATGGGAGAGTGTGTGAACCCAGAGTATTTCATTATTTTACTGTTGAATAAGAAAATAAAATGAATAGAAACTGTAGCCCACCCAAACATAAAGAGTATAAAGTAAAATTAATACTGAACACACTCTATCCACTCTTGTGAGACATTTTCCCAGTGGATCCTGTATACTTCTACAGCAAAAGCTCAGTCAGGTTTGTTTTTCTCTCTGCAGGATGAACCTCATGGTTGGATTTTAGTGTCCAAACAGGCAGTGATAATTTTCACTGTGTTGTCTAATAAATGGAAATGCTGCAGTTCCCTCTGGGTGTCTTCTGAGTCAACTCTAATATCCTTCTCAACTCACTCTGTCGAGATTGTGGTAACACATTAAGGCTCACTCCTGGTTTAAGGCTTTATGAGACACGTTTATGTCCATAGATGCACATGTCTGCTGCAAACTGAGCTCTATCTTTGTCTCTGTCTAACCGTAGTAATGAGATTTATACATTTTTTGGATTTATTTTGAAATATTCTGTGGACTGACAGGATGTGAATAGATTTTCACTCTTCAGGTTTTTTCCAGATTTTTAAAAATTCTTCCTTCATTTGATAATTGACAGTGAAGAGAACAGAGGGGAAATATTGTGACAAAGTTCCTTGAATATTTAAACTCAGGATTTGTGTTATTTGATTTTGCTGGTTTGCAGAAATAACTTGTTCAAAGAAACATCCCTGCAGAGACATTGTCACTATCAGATATAGGGTACAGATTTACTATAAAAAGGCAAAAACTGCAACAATATTCATATTGGTGTTTCATTATCTGAATCTGAATTAATAGGGAATGATGTGCAATCTCCTAACAATAACATCAGAGTAAAGGAAGTCTGAATAATATAGAATTAAATATAAAGCAAATATCTGCCACTGAGGTCAGTTGTAAGAAGAAGAAGAAGGAAGGATTGTTTTTTGTTTTGTTTTCGTACTAAATTTGTACATTATCACATTACAAATATCATTCATTTGATTTGTGAGATTTGTGTAATCCCTACAGGAAAAATCCAGTCCACATTTACAGTATAAAGAGTATCACATTTGTTTTCAAACCACATTCACTAAGATCCATCAAAGATCCCACAAAACACAAAGTTTTCCTTTGAGATCAACAAAATCTTTATTACAAAACATGAATCGTACTTTAAGGGTATATTTTAAGCAATTGAGTCATGTCTCAAAGTTTTATTAGGCTTTTTAATGTCTGATCCATCTACCAAATTGCGGCGGACGCTCAGGAATACGTTAAAGAAATTAGAGGGGGTTGGGGCTGTGGTCACATGAGTAGGAGCAGAGTCATTCTCACCATTAAACTTTCTATTATAGATTCAAATCCACATCTAACCTATTAACATTAATGTTATTTTTTCTTTAGAAAGCAAAACAGTTCAATGACATTTTGTAACATTTGTCATGGTGGTAAAAATGGTGAAAAGTGGTGAACAGTTTTTTAAAAATCAAACCTTTTTGTTTTTCAAAATGTATTTATTTTGTCTTATTTTTCATGTTTTCTTTTCCTTTGCCCATATCTGAGAAACAGCTCTCGATGTCCTCTTTGACCTCAGAGAGAATCCGCGAGACTAGAAGTTAACGGCAGTGTTAATGTGGCAGATTAGGATTTTTTAAAATAAAATCCCAATCAACACTTTGATCTCCTTAAACATCTGAGTCTTTTTGTCTGTATACCCCTGCCTCATACAGTGGTCACCCTCATGACCACCTCCTGGTTGGCACGGTGCAGGTTGTTGGGTCTTAACTGGCTGAGGATGTGCAAAATAGTATAGCCACAGTGGTGGTTAAGAATAGTCCTGACATGTCGACTCGCCCTCTGTCCGCCGTCTGTGACAGTGTGAGAAGAGTTCCTCTCAACACGACCTTTACTGCTGGAACTGATGGGGTCACCTAAGTCCTTCGCTTTCTCATAATTCAGCACTTTCCACTGCTGGTTCACCGCCTGCCAACGCTTAAAGATCCGGTAAACAGACGACCCTTCATGGATTATAAGGCCTGCAAGGACAAAGGGTGGGGGAGGTTGGGGGCAGGAAACAGGGTTACATATAGACAAACAGTTGTTTGTTCAAAGAGAATCAGGAAGTACTGAAAGGTACAGAGTTAATAAGAACTATACGTTCTCAAAAATAAAAAGATTACATATACTGGACTTGTTTGTGAGTATTTTGGACTGATGTTTGACAAGAAACACGTGTTGATGGAAAAAAAACAGTCTGAGAGAGAACACAACAAATATACTGATGTAAATGTGCACAAATCATTTAATTGCTATTGTTCATAGGTATGTTTTCATTAGTGTTACCTGATCATAAGAATGGTTGCATTTGTGTTACCTTAGAATGAGCCATTTTTATCTACAGAAGGAGCAAGACCTCAAGTCCGCAATGTTGAACCACCATGTTTCTACAGTAGCCCTGAATGGACAAACTAAACAGCCACCGTAGCTTCTCCTACAAGCTTGGAAGGCTGAGCTGT